TCCTTTCTTCACCTGCAGCGTCCGGCCACCAAAGAGGGCTGAAAATGCGCGTGAATTGTTCAGATTCTTCCTTCATGGCTAAGAATATGTACTACCGTAGGCTACTCAGGTGACTGAAGGATTTAGCAAAAACAGAATGATCAGCAGAGATGAAAAATAACTAAGACAGCTTAAAAATTCTGTAGTAGAAATAGTGATGGGGGGATAGGTAGCTGCTCTCTTTGGTGACACCTTTTCCCTTGCGACCACCTGGGACGCGGCCTCCCTGCCCCAGAAGTCGGGTGGAGCTTGGCGGGTGGCCGGCACCTTGCACAGCCCTGCACCGAGCCCGCGACTTCTTTTTTTTCCCGATAAATAGGTATCTCGTTTATCATAGAAAAAAAAGTTACTCTATGTCTTGAGGAAACATTGTTAATAAAATATAACAGTTTGTGAGTTTATAATGAAAATGTTACAAATGAAACACTGTGCTTACTCTGTATAATGAAGAGAAGACCCACTTAATATTTTCTACCATTTTTATCTTTTCATTTGTAACATTGGCAGAATGAGTTTAAAACTGATCAACAGTTAAATTTATTTTATGAAAATGATTTGCACTTAACACGTAGAATTGTACTTTTCTTTCTTAGGGATGGTGGTGGTGCTTTGTCTTGTTTTTGAGATAGGGTCTCTTTATGTAGCCCAGGCTGTCCTTGAACTTGATACATAGGCCAGGCTGGCTTTGAACTCATGTTAACCCTCCTGCTTCAGCCTCCCAGTGCTGGTAACACAAGCATGCGCAAATCACACCCAGCCTAAACAGATAAATTGTTATTGTATGAAATGATTGGGAACAAGTTGAGGTAAGCTTGGAAGGAAACTGAGCCAGAAGTGTGGTATGCAGGCAAAACCTCTGGGCTGGGCTTGGAAAACTCAGCACTGCCTCATTTCTTAACTTATCCAGATGTCTGGTTCTTCATCTGTATACCAAGCTCATACTACATTGTCTTTAAAATCCTTTTCAGCTTTAAAATTTAGTTTTTGAGTCTAGCACCCTTCTGTAGGACATGGTATGTATCTGTGTGGTTTCACGATCAAATTTGGGAATGGAAAACCATAATGAGTTAGGCCGTAGATTGTGGTATATATCTTATTTTAATTATATATGGTATTATCTATCTATCTGTCTGTCTGTCTGTCTGTCTGTCTGTCTGTCTACCTACCTACCTATCTATTGTAGTTCAGGTTGTCCTTAAAACTCTCTAGCCCATGGTGGCCTCAGACTTCCAGTGATTCTCTTCCCTTAGCCTCCCCTAAATGCTGAGATAATAGGTCTGCACCACCATGCTTGGATACAGGAGTGTGTTTTTTGTTTTATTTTGTTGTTTTGGTAGTGATGATTGAATTTATGGTATAATCTTTACCACTGAGCTATATCCTGAGCAATTTAATATACTGTATTTTTTTGTTTGTTTTTTGAGACAGAGTCTCACTTTGCAGTTCAGGGCAGCCTTAAACTCACTGTGTAGCTTAGGCTGGTCTCAAACTTGAGATATTCTCCTGCTTCAGCCTCCCAAGTGCTGGGATATGTTAGATATTGCACATAAAACATTAGGTTACACTTATCTCCATATATTATATTTATCAATTAGTTTTTAAAACTATGTTATAATCTAAATTTAAAGACAGAAATTTCCCAGTGTATAGGCATAAGCCCCAAGTAGAGAGGCTGACATATTACCGTGTATGAAATCATTCTCTTGAATTTTCCAGGAAATCATAGAAAATGACTGGAACTTGGATTACC